GTCTATAATTATTGCTAGATTGGTTGTTTTTGTTAAGAGGCATATCAACACCTCTATGGGTTATTTAATACCGAAATCTGAATATATTATACGCAAATTTATTTTTAGGGTATAATCAGGGTTTTAGTGGCACAAGTTTTACTAATTAATCCATAGCTGGTGGATAAGAGGTGGATTCATACCTTTCCCAAGGCTATTTGCGCTGTAAACGAATATAACGAACTCAACTGGAAATTGAACTCGGCTCTCCAATTAACAATCTCGAGCCATTCTCCGTTACACCACCCGCACATCCAAGCTTACAGAATCTGGTATTCCGGAGCGATGACCTGTCTTGGTCCTGATCAGGCTCGACGTTGCTTAACTTCGGTAATCGTACAGAAACCGGTGTTTCAGCGTGATGCGGCCGCAAGCCAATTATTGCTAGGATACCAACATCCACAGAATTGAATCAGCCTCATTTTCCCTGTATTCGAAATGCAAAGAGAAAGTTCCCCTCAGCTAGTTTATCCACAAAAACTGCTATTTCGTAGAACAGACTCCCGCGTGGATGCTTTCCTGGTCACTACAATTTTAATCTCATTAAGTCAAGGTTCAATCGCTGTCTATCCTTCTTCACTCCTTACCACTCTCTTTCACTCATATCATACTTAATTCATCATAACCATTCTAACAGTAACCTCTACCTTGATTGCCTCTTGTGCCTTATACTGGGTAAACTTTAGTATAAAAATAAATAATACATGAAGATCTTGAGACCTGGTTTGATGATAATTCGTATTTGTTCTAGCGAGATCTGGTTTGGGGAGGGGAATTCAATAGAGGAACAAATTTACCCGCAATGTCTTGCTCGGCTAAGCTAGTAATCATTGCTCTAGAGGAGATGCCCTTATCTGATTATAATAATTATCCAGTCGAACGTTGAAGCGACGAGATGAAGCCATTTATTTTGTTTTGCTGCTGATATCCTGACCTCTCGTTTACATCGAGTTAATAAACATACATAGAGGCTGAGTGACTTAAGCCTAAGTGTTGACATAATCTGGCATTATGCCTCGCCTGATTCGTCCTAGCCAATGTTTGAATCTACATCGCCGTCAACTTCGACGTCTTCCACATCTGATCTACATCACCATCTTATGTGCCTGTTTTTGTCAAGGACATTTGCCTTGAAATGATACATCACCAAGCAGAACTATTTGTTTTTCTCCGGTTTTTACTTCTCCTGTGTATTTTATTTATTTTCTTTATTTTTCTTTATTTTTTTTTTTTTTTTTTTTGTGGCGGGGAGGTTAATACTTAATACAAATAAATTCCATGATTTGCAAAGTTTATTCATAACTATTTTTGATAATGAAAGACGTTTCTGTTGACTAGCTTTTATCTTTTTATGTGCGCGCTTGTGTGTGTGTGTGTGTGTGTGTGTGTGTGTGTGTTTACTAATGTATACTTTGTCATAGATATATACATATGGAATACCTAATGACGATCGAACTCATAAACATTTCAAGAAGTAATTGTTTAGGGTCACCTTTTTGCCCAAGAACAGGTGCACTTACACACACACACACACACACACACACACACACACACACACATATATATATATATAAATGTGTAAAAATATATATATATAATAGGAAAGGTAAATAATCCAAAGTTCTTTAGTATTTTTGTTATTATTTTTAAAAAATAGTGCTCGATACAAAAGTATATTTATTTAAAAATATGATTCCAACACGCTACATAAGAGTTCTCATGTTTCAAATTCTTTTGAAACATGAGAACTCTTATGTAGCGTTGGAATCATATTTTTAAATAAATATATATATATATAAAAGTGAACATAGAAGTCAACACTTAGAGGCGACAATCTGTTTCATGCTAGATGCAAAACTGTTGCCTCTAAGTGTTGACTTCTATGTTCACTTTTATATTTACACACGCTCTCTCTCTCTCTCTCTCTCTCTCTCTCTCTCTATATCTCTCTCTATATATATATATATATATAAAGAAATTGACGTTTCGTCCTTCAGGACTTCATCAGACTAAATTTATTATGTTGGTAGGACTGCGCAAGCGCACGGTAGTGGGGTGCTAGAAATTTCAGATTTTCTTTTATCAACCGAATTCATTTAAAAACTTTTTTTCTTTATTTTCCATAAATTTTGTAAGTAGGTATTCCACATTGTGATATTAGAAGAAGTGCCAGGAATGGTGGATGTCGTAAGAGCCAGGGCGCAAATTTATTGTAGATGACTTTGCGATTAAAGCACTCTCTTGACATTTTCGTCGGAGTAAATTCTTTTCTCCTTTGATCATAAAAGAATTCTAAAATCCTAGTACCCCTCTTTCGTGCGCATGTGAAGTCCTACTAACATTACAAAATTAGTCCGATTAAGTCCTTAAGGACGAAACGCGTCACAAGTAAACTTTTTTCCAAAATGTAACATATATATATATATATATATATATATATATATATATATATATATATAGGTAACTATACTCGTTTCGAAAAACCTTCGAATTTTTGATTTGGCAATAATCAAATCAATCTCGAGGGAAAAAAAAGGTTTTTAAAAAAAAGAACCAGCTTTCCCTGACGATCCGCTTAGATGAAACCTGGATAGGTTTGTCTGGCTCACTAGGTTTATATATATATATATATATATATATATATATATATATATATATATATATATGATAAAAATATTGTTTTAAGGTATGCATTATTTATGGTCGCTTAAGAACAGAGCATATGTAAATAAATAAAAACTATACTCTGGGGTCGACACCTAGCGGCGACAATCCGTTTCATACGTGTTCAAGTCTACCATCAGTATCCACTTTTCTATAGCAGATCTAAAAGTTGTCCCCTTCTGAAGCTACACACTTTATCCAGCATCGCTTACAAGCATTTCTGAGAGATTTTTTGAGATAGCGACCAGCTGGCTCATAGTATTCTCTTGAATTTCCTCAAGGTCTAAAATTCTTGTTAAAAACTGCTGCACATGCCATGGCCGCCGGTGGACCATTTGTGTGTCGTGATGAGATGACCGCACTCTACACATTTTCCTTCCAAGCACTGCTATGAACAACGGAAGTCAACAATGAACGTTATAACTTAGTGTGTCTGGACGACAGAGGCGATGGTCAATCTGTACCAAGCGGCTTCACTCTGCGTACTTTAGCTCCGTTACCATTTCAAGATACTTTTTGATCATACCGTGTGTATATATATATATATATATATATATATATATGTGTGTGTGTGTGTGTGTGTGTGTGTGTGTGTGTGTGTGTGTGTGTGTGTGTGTGTGTGTAGTCGAATTACCCGCGCCTTGATGCGTGTCACACAATTTTTAAAGATTGATTTTAAATCGTTGTTATAATTTGTGGAGAAAAATGGTGCATTTCAGTATTATTCAATGATCTTGCCGATGTGGCCTCCATCTTTTGACTTTCTCTTTCTATATTTTAGATAGGAGTCATTCTATTGTTCAAATTCAAATTTAATTTAAATCAATTAGAAAAATAATTCCAGTGTGGGTGTACAAAAACAGCTTGATCTGATCCATTTGATACGTATTTGGTGCAATACTTGATTGAATGAATTAATAGCTAAATTTCGACATTGATATGACTGTTGAATTGTTGCGACAAATATGTATTGTAAGGCACTACACACTGATTGGAGATTTTTGATCAATTTGACGCCATATTGTTTCATTTTGATCTTGCCAATGTGATCTGCATTTTCTGGATTTCTCCTTCTATATTTTTGATAGGCGTCATTGCCTCGTTTAGATGTAAATTCAGTTTAAATCAAAAGGGAAAGCATTTTCAGTGGGGTGGGTCCCTCATTGACTGCCTTTGATCAAATCGAAATATACTTATCCAAGTACCCTGGGTAATGTAGTTTCACAATATATATGGTTATGGGGTCTATCGCCATAGAGGCTATATATATATATATATGTGTGTGTGAAAAAGTGTATATAAATATAAATAAATATATATATATATAATTATTTATATATTATATACTTGGTACTTATTAGAAAGCGCTCAATATCAGAGATAGAGCTAACATATTTGGTTGGATAGATGTGAGTTTGTGACCCTGGGTTTCACGCTTTAGCGGTCGTCAGACAAACTGATTAATGTTTTAAAAAATTTTTTAAATTTAAAAAATGGAAGGCATATTTCTCCCTCAACGACCCAAAAAAAAAACACTACATAAACCCAAATTTTTTAAAACATTAATCAGTTTGTCTGACGATCGCTAAAGCGTGAAACCCAGAGTCACAAACTCACATCTATCCAGCCAAATATATATATATATATATATATATATATATATATATATATATATATATATATGTATGTGTGTGTGTGTGTTATTAAATCGAGAGTACAAGGAATGTTTTCTTAATAGCTTAGTTATCTTCAGGAATAATACATGGGTAGAATATTAGACGCTGCCATCGTATTTGTGCTTCATTTAATTTTTCACATGACATTTTCCGATGTAAAATTCTTAAGCAATAACGACACGCCAATATTCCATTATTTCATTTTCATCATCTAATCTTCTGTCAAATAGAACCTGTTGGGTTTTGATCTTGGGCACGATCAGAAAATAGCCCAAAACTGCAAGAATCGACCGTAAAAACTGTGGCCAATTGTTGCGCAGTATCTAACCATCCATTCGTTTTCTTGTAGAGAAACAAGATAAGAAATTAATAAAGTATTCCTTGTCTGTTGTAAGTAATAATATAAGTATATCGGGGAAATAACTGCCCTAATGCATACTGTGTTCGCGTCCATATGTGTGGGAGTTGGAGCGTGAATGTGTTTGTTTTGAGGGCGAAAGTTTGATACTTATAAAATGCAGCGAACAGAATAAGTTGTTTAAATGAAAACATTCTCTTCTTTCATTTTTTAAAAATTATAATTTGAAGTCTATGTCTATAAATCTTTAAAAGAATTAGGCTTTCGACCAAATCGCGTTGAAACACCGGTTCGCGTACGATCACCGAAGTTAAGCAATGTCGAGCTTTATCGGTACCTTGATGGGTGACCACGTGCTGGTAGTGTAATGAATAATGGTTCGGATTTGTAAATCGGAGAGCCGAGTTCCAATTCCCGTTAGGTTCGCTACATTCACTTACGCGCAAATCCTCTTGGGAAAGGTATGAATCCCCCCCAGCTATGGATTAATTAGTAAGACTTGTATCACTAAAACATTACTATGATTATTACAATCTAAAAATATTTCCTTGTTTTCAATAACCTACAAACGAATCAATCAATCAATTTAAAGAAATTATTTTTTAAAACAAACCGCGAGCGTGTGTTACTGATTTTTATTTCAGCTTTGAATTCTCAGTTATTTAAAAATGCTCTCTCTCTCTCTCTCTCTCTCTCTCTCTCTCTCTGTGTGTTTGTGTTTGTGTGTGTGTGTGTGTGTGAGAGAGAGAAGCACACACTTATACAAATGCATACATACAGAAACAGGCTGTAAAGCTATGAGGCCACCATTATTGAAGATCAAAATCATTTATTAGTCGTATTGCTCCGTAAGACTTGCAATCCAGAAATTCATGACCCATATGTGCAGTACATCAATACGTTCGTAACATAACGATGAAAAAGCATTTTGTCACACAATGAATATTGATTTTCCAACATAGTCTTCTTTGACTATTTGAAATATTCTGTAATCAATATAACACACACAGATCGAAATATTATACACTGAATGTTTCAGGTCAAAATTCATTTAACAACTACATGTCATTTTTTTTTCACTTTAATTGTTATTTTAATGGATACGTATTTTGTTTTAAGAATACTTCTCGAATATTCAAGCCAGTAAACGAAATAAAATACTGTTTAAAATAAACGGAACGTTTACCCAAATATGTGTATCCTTTAAAAATAACGTTTGAAGGGATATATATATATATATATATATATATATATATATATATATATATATATATATATATATATATATGATTAGATATTGTCTGACATCCACATGAAAGTCTAGATTTGACGAGGATATTTAAGAATGATTACCTAAAAACAAGCATACAATATAATAACTTTTATAATCCATAGCCAAAATAAATAGTTTAAATACCCTAAAAAAAGAAAACCCTTTATGAAGTCGTCAAAAAACAAAAGTTACGGCAGTTTTTATATGCACAAATCCCTTTCATAAAGAAATAAAATAAAAAAATAAATAAATCTCCGTAAGCCAGACTAGGCTAAAACATCTTCCGTTTCAAATTTAGACACCCCCACCTTACCCTGACTTGACATCTATGAAAGTAACTCTATACTGATACTTATTATTAACACCCAACACACGCCTACCCAATTTAAACAATTCGCCCTAGCTGTTACCATGGAAATTTTGATTTCAATTATTAAAACAGGTAAATTTCTGAAATAAGTTATTCCCAAAAAAATTTCGCTTGAAGATGGAACAGAGCTTTCTTTAACTCAATTTAATTCAAATAATTATATTGAAGTTTTCGGCTCTTGTTTTGAAACATGAGACCTCTTATGTCGCGAGTTGGAATCATATTTTTAAATAAATAATTATATATATATATTTATATATATGTGCCAGAGTGAAAAAAGTTTTTTGTGATGCGTTTCGTCCATTAGGACTTCATGCGCACTCTGAGAATTATAATTTGAAGATGATTATATATGTGTGTGTGTGTGCGTGTATGTATGTATGTGTGTGTGTATGTATGTGTGTGCATGTGTTTATGTATGACTATGTGTGTATGACTATGTGTGTATGTGTGTATGTATGTGTATGTATGTGTGTATGTGTGTGGGTGGGTGTGTGATTTCATTCAGATTCTTTTTTTTTTCTTTCCATCCATTTTGTTATTAAATATCCCACATTGTAATAATAGAAGATCAGCCAAGAAAAGAAGAAATGTTAAGTTTTATTTATATATATATATATATATATATATATATATATATATATATATATATATATATGGGTGTGTCCGTGTGTACTGTGTTTTGCTTTCTTTGGATATTTGTACTTTTTTTATTTAAATTAAATAATTCCTTCTTATATGCGTCAATTGACTTAATCGTATAAGTAAAAACTCTAGATTATCCGTGCAGAAAAAATAAGCAACACAAATGCAAAATTACGTAAATATAGCAGCCATTTTGTTTTTCATGCTTTCTCTAAACTCGTTTTGTATATTTTGCTTATCAGTTATTTTTTCTCATTTCGATATTCGATATTTACGAAGCTGTGGCGCAAAATCAGTTATGTTTTCTTTCATTTATCACAAGATAACAATATCGGGGAACACAATAAGGAACGAATTCATTATGCAAGCAAATTGGGCCTGAAGACGATCTTCTATACTACTGCGCGACTGCATCCACTCTATGAAGAAATCTTCGCCAAGTAAAGCAGTGGGTGAACATAAGCAAGAACTGTCTATAATCAATTCCTTACAATTGTTACAAAGAATATAAAGATCAAACAAGGCTGGAGGAACATCGAAAGGCCGTAGTGCGCGATGAAAGAATGAAACTGGGCATGGCTGATCATGTATGGAGGAAAAGGCTAATCCTCAGCCGCTGTAGATTGAAGTAAAACTACTGGACAAGGAAGAGCACTGAAGTGATAAATACCTGAATATACCAGCGCATATGCTAGGCTATGAGCAGACCTTTAGTATGCGTAGTATATAAATTAATACGATATGGGAGCTGTCAATAAAGAAGGAAAAAGAAATGGCAGCAAAACTTCAATAAGGGCAATAGCTGTAACGAAAAAAGAGCAAAATTCCGTGAGTGCAGTCAAGCATGACACGCAGCAGCAGCAGCACTCATTATCAAGGGCAGGTTAGTTTTAAAGCTCCAAGTTCTACAAAGAGAATTGCCCTACAAGAAAATAGCCTAGTGGATTAAAGTGTTGGTTCGTGAATTTGGTTACATAATAATTGTGAGTTCAATCCTTGGTCCGGGCAGTGTGTACTTAGGCTCGATGGAAATGAACGAGAAATAACTGAACAATGCTAAAAAAAAATAATAACTAGATGAGATATCGCATGGACAGTGGAACGAGAACAAGAACGAGAACAGTCAACCCCAGTAGGAATTCCCTGTAGGTTTACCCGGATCGATATACACCTGATGAAGGCCGAAACGTTGTAATAACAACAATGATGAGGACCATAGCCCGAATGTAAATAGTATAAATAATGATGAATTCAGATAGAAATTACTTAATTAGTTGTTTATTATACTTAGTTCAGTCTCGAACAACGTTATTTAGGAAATATCAAACACTGGTAAAGTATTCAGGGGTACTTAGATATGAAAATTCGTATGGGTAAAGCCTGGGCTGCCCTGAATAAAATGGATGTAATTGTTGTAACCAAGTATATGGTTAAGAAATAACAAATCAAGAGGTTGCAGATAAATCGTGTATTGAACAGGAAATACAACAGAAGAGTATTACACGACTTGGGAATGTGTGTCGGTTGACCAGCGTTCAGTCTATGTCAGTGTTCCCCCGATGCTTATTTTTCCTACTAACTTTATAGTAAGTGGAAGAGACCTCAATATCCTTATTAGAGGGAGAACATCACAACAGTAATCTAGAAATCTGGACTCAAGCGGATATTCTTTTGGGTCACTGTAGAAATGGTGTTAATATATGGTGCCCCTGCATGATCAGTATCTAAAACCCTACAATCTAAGCTCGATGGAGCCTACAATCTGGTTCACGGTTTCTAAAGGAAGAACATCTCTTGGAGCCAGCATATTAACTTCTCCTGGAGACAACATCCAACTAAATCACAGTTCTATGGGGCCAACCCTGACATTTCTACAACCTTACGCGAACGCAGAATGCGCTTTGCAGGACACTGCTGGCGAGCAAAACAAGAACTGACGAGGGAACTTCTGGACACCTAGCCATGCAGCAAGACAGGCTGTTGCCCAACAACCTCCGATATTGACCAGCTATGTTATGACCCAGAATGCCACACTAATGACCTTCCAACGTTGATGCAGGACCGTGATGATTGGCGTGATAGGCTCATCAATATCACAGCTAACACGACCGAATAAAAAAAATAATTTCTTGTCTTTGTCTGTAATAATATATGCATGAACGAAAAATTCATGCATATATATATATATATATATATATATATATATCTACTATCTATATTTCTCATGTTGTCTGTCTGTGTGTCTGTCGTGGGCGTTGTTACCTCGCCCAGGCCGCATTTCTCAACCGATTTCGATGCGGTTTTCAACAAAAGTTTGCAAATGGCTGCCGTAAGGACATGACGGAGCCCGATTTTTGAGTTCGGAATCAGGTTCCGAAAAAATCGATAATCGAAAAAATTCTGCTTATTAAGGAATGATCACATTTGTCACCCTCTTAGAGTCTACCATTAGAAGTGTTGTCCAGAAGTTTCATGACCACGGACCCCTAAACAGCGCGGAAAATCGATAAAACCCAAAAACCGATACGCCCAGATTGCGTCTAAACCGCATGGCGGTTTTTAGCGAAAACCGAGCGGATTTATGAAGAGGCCATTAGGAGTCATCATGTGAAGTTTCAACTCTGAGCACCCACCCCCAAACAGAGTGCAAATCGACAATCGGTCAAACCTTAAAAATGTTTTTTCCGGTTTTTTAAAGCTGATCGTATTGTGTTTATTTTGTTTAGTTCTTTTTTCGTAACAGATTTAATGTTTACTATAGAGCTTAGAAAAAGTTGGCAGTGTGATATAGGCAAGAAGTAAGGCATGTGACAACATCAGCACGGCAAAGGGCACTCCTCTAAAGGCAAGGAAGGGCAAAAATATTTTAAGTCAAGTGATAGTGATTGCTGTATTAGTCGTACCATTTTTAAATCAAGCACGGGCAACGCCGGGTCATGCTGTTAGTATATATATATTTCAATTAAAAGGTGCAATTATAATTTATAAATTCATGAATCATTCATACAAAAAACAAATATAGAGGTTAATGATTTAAATTTTAAATGTATCGCAAACAATATAAATAA